TTCTGAGCTTCTAGTTTCTTCTGCAAAGTAAGTGAGATTGACCAGATGATCCTTTGAGATAGGAGCCAATGCTAACATTCTCCTTGGCATTGTAACTTTCCAAGGGACTTGATCCTTGCTTTGGTGGGAAAAGGTGAGCTTTGTCATCCTTGATTCAAGACAAAGATGTTTCTTCAGCCTAGTGCTGTCTGTGTCTTTCACAAAAATAGGAACCTAAGGGAACCAGCAGCATCCATTTTCTCTACTGGGATCATGGGAATCACATGCTATGGGGAGGGGGTACCCAGGAAAGTAGATCTGTCAGATACATCATGCCCCATAGCCCATCTCCACAGCACCCCTCTGCCTGAGCCCAGATACCTTTCCTCTTGGGTTTCTGGGTACCATAAGCACTGGTGATACCATGAGCATCAATAAATGGTGACATCATGAGGCCCAGTATTGTCATTTTGACCTAGGATCTGATTCCCTCTCAGTCCTTTCCAGGTTCTGCTGAATTGAGCAAACACACGGTGAACATACATGAGGCAAATTCTGTTTCCCGACAAATGTAGATCTAGGGCAATTTTACCTTTCTGGATGTTAGAGGACATAAATGTCATGGCTCCCTCATTCCTAGTGGAATCTAGCTTCACCCTGTGGGATGCCCCTTTTACCTGGGCTCCTGTGGACTCAGTACTACTCCTTCCCTGGGGCCTTTAAGCACAATCACCACCTGTCTCCAATCTGTATTTCTGGATTTCCGTCTCTTCATACTCAGAACCATCCCCAAAGCACCCTAGGGTTTATAATCCCAGCCATGTTCTCAAAGCATCGTGATCTTGTTTTCTCAGGGGCTCAGCAAATGTGAGTTTCATGCTCATTTGCTATAGAAATATTGTAGGTCTGGGAGTGAACTATGACTATGAACAGTGGTATCCTCTGCCCTGAGCTTTTCAGGGTTCTTCCTGGGAGGCTATTAGAGTAGTCAGTGCCCTGGAGGAGACCCGTTGTCTGCAAGACCACGGGGCCATTCAGCAGCCCAGACCGGGGCTTAGAAATGGCATTTGGAGGTAGTGATGTCTAAAGTGCGACCTAAGGAATGTGTAGTTTTGATTCAGATGAGGAAGCAAGGGGATGAAAGATTTCTGGGTAGAGATGATAGTGAGTGTGAAGGATCAGGGAAAGTGTGGGGCCACTTTGTTTAGGGACCAGGTTGAGTTCACTGAGCTTGGCCAGTTGGAAGTGGTTGAGGGAGTACTGGGGCATGAAGGCACACAGGAAGAGCCCAAGGTCATGCATGACAGTGAAGGGCACTTGGAGGGTTTCTTTCTAGACTGTGGGAGATCCTAAATATTTTCAAATGGGTCTTAATGTAGAAGTGTAATGGTTGAATGATAGCAAGGCCTCCACCAACTTGGAAGATATACTTCCAGTATTCCAAAGTGTTGGTTTGGTTTTAAGCATGCATATGTAGCCACTTTCCTGTGTGTACACAGTTCTCTGTAGCTGGTGGGAAGAGACTAAATTGTAGAGGTTTGGCAGAGATCCAGGGTGTTTTGTCATAGGTGTGAGTTTCTCAAATGTGGTTTGTAATCAGATTTGTGACTGACTCCAGAGGTTGAATGAGCACTGTTCCCTATTGCACAGAGGGAGTGAGGGAGCAAGCTGTGTTTACCCAGTACAGTTCTGACTCAAATGTGTGGGCTCTTTCTATACCAACAGTCTGAAGAGATCCACAGTGGACTGTATCCAAAAATTCCACTGAATTCTGAAAGTACCTCTCATTGGTGTCTCATTCTAAAGGTTTATGGACTCAGTCCCCAAGACCACACTGGCATCAGATGGCAGTCAAAGCATTGTGTATTGAGAGTACACACATTTCTGTACAACATGGGTACATTGTCACTTTCACAATCCTACCCGTTCATGTTTGCTAATTGCTAAAATCAGTAGTGAGACTCAGACAATACTTAATCAGCAGTTTATGAAAAAAAGATAACAGCTCCATGGAACAGGAGCATAGGACAAGGCAATGTAAAGACCTTGCATGTCCCACCTGGAGGTCCCAATTTTCCAACACCTCTATGTATTCACCATCCTTGAAGGAAAGTAAGATTGTCCTCATTTCATATGCAAAGAATTAGATTCGGTTTTCTCATCTCATTTCACCCATCAATGTTGCAGTCAAGTGGTTGAATAAATTGGAATCAGGGGCTCAGGTTAGAGGCCAGTGATTCCTGGCTGAGGCCCATCTTCAGTCTGCAAAGGGAGGACCATGAAGTCCCCTTGGTGCTTCCCAGACAGCTGGCTGTCTTTCCTTCATGTGGCCTCCATGTGATCAGAAGGAGGACAGGAGTGACAGTGGGAAGTTGTGGAGAGCAGGAAACTCCCAAGCAGATGCATTTGGAGGTTCTGATCTTTGAGATGGATCCTGGTTGTCATGAAACTGTTTTCTGGACATTGTTTTGGTGTTTCCATGGTTAGAGGTGCTCTGATCAATCTAAATTGAGTAGGTTCAGATAATCTATAAAGGTAGACCTTGGAGAAGGTTTCATTCATGTATTGCCCTGGAAGAAAGAGCTCATGAATTTGACAGTTTGCCTTGGTGAGACCTTAAGTGACTTCAAGTGAAGCTTCCTTCTGGAGACTTTTAAGATTTTGAAGGACACTGGAAGGAGTGCATGCACCAAGACATCCAGAGTGATATTCTTAGGGGTCCTTGCCTCAGCCCAGGAATGGATTACTCTGGTGCTGTAGGTCTGAAGTACTGGGGATTGAATTCAGGGCCTCGTGCTTGCAAGGCAGGTGCTGTACCACTTGAGCTACTTGAGTTTAATCTTCTCAATTAAACTAGAATTTTTTTCCAGTTTTTGTTTTGACTAGGCTGCAGAGGCTGCCTGTGTGAGCTGGTTCCAATGTTTACTTTTCTTCCTCTGGATTCCTTTGTAGGATATTGCTGCCATATAACTAGTTTTTCCCCATGCATTGGGTAATTAAAGTCCCTTGTTGCTATTTTTCTTTCCTTGGCTGAAAATAGGTAATCATTAGAAAATGTGCTGACAAAGCCTTGTCCATGAAGCCACTGCCTCATGTCCCATTTCTCAGTGTGATACCAGACCTTTCCTCTTGTTCCAGTGTGGGGCCTGACCTGGCTTGGCTTGCCTTTGTTGCCATTGCCAAGGATGTCCTCATTGGCCAGTGTCTGAAATTCCCCCTCGTGCCTCCACTTCCAGCACAGTTCAGAAAGATCAGGAGGCCGTTCTGGAGAGCCAGGAGGAAGGTCGGCTTCAATGCACTTTTCCCCCAGGTGTGGCCAGGTCCAGGCCTATGAGGAAGCCCAGGAGGAGCTGTGGATAAATTGTGTCTGCCTCCTCTCCAGGTAGGGATCTCTCTCCTCTTGTCACTCAGCTTGAGCACTTGCCAATCAGGGCCACTGGAGCTGTCCAGTCAGGAGCCTGGCTGAGATAGGTTCAGGAGATTCCTTTCTGCCTTGCTAGTTGTACAGCTGACTTGGCATTTGTGAGTTGTCTGGTGGCTCAGTTTCTGTCACTTTGTGACCACTGACTTCAGGAGCAGGATGGGATCCCCGTCTCCCAATCCCTGAACGCATAGATTTCTTGATGTTGGGAGCTGTGTCTCCACCGTGATCTGGTTCTGAGCTGGGCTTCTGAGAACGGGCAAGCAATACCTCAATTCCGGGGACACCCGGCGGTATCCCCCATGGGACATATTTGATGACAGAGTGGAAGGGGAGGTTCAGGTCTTTGACATAATTAGTGTTGTCCTTGTACTGTGTGTAGACAGCATTTACAAATGAAATGCAGATGGAGGCAGGACCTGAGCTTATTGAAGAGGCTGAATAGCCCCAAGTGCAAGGTCAAGGGTGTCAAGGGTGAGGCTGATTAGGGCTGTGCTGTCTAAGGAGGATTAAACAAGAGGAGAGGAGGGCAACGAGGGGACATCATCAGCTCCGGGGACAGATGAAGTGTCCCTGAGTCACCTGTCTTTATGGTGACAGTAAAGGTGGCATCTTTTTCTAGCTCGTGCTATGTGTGGACAGAGATCAGAGATCAGAAGGGAGGACAGGAACATTTTCTCAGCCTGTGCCCAGTTTTCTCTTAGATTTAAAGGTTGAAGGGCAGGACAAATCATCCAAGTAAAGTGAGAAGGTGTTTCCTTGCACAATGACAGGACTCGATTCCTTTGCTTTCTCTTGTTGGTACTTACCAGGAGTGCAGGGTTGGGTAAAATTGAACCGCTTTTACATTCATAGAGTTGGTGGAGTCATAATGCAAGTTGTGCCCATTGAGAAAGTGTGAAGGTCAGACCCAGAAGGGCACCTTTGGATGATGCCTGGAGAACAATGGTTTATGAATTTCATCATTTCTATAAGTTTTGTATAAAGGAAATACATTTATGCCTTTGGCCTCTGATTTCTTAGTCAGTGAGCTTCCTTTCTGCCACCATTGTTGTGTCCCTAACCTGACAGTTGTGAAATGTTCAATGGCTCACATTCTGTAGCTTTGTTATCATTGACCCCAGGAGCAGGTGTGGGACAGCAGGACACCCCGGCAGCCAAGAATGGTGAGCATTGAAGGTGGATTTGTGAGCTGGGGCAGGCAGGGCTGTTGAGAGTGGCTGGAGGCAGCTGTGGAGCAACAGGGCCGCCAGCCTGAGCCCAGTCAGCGCTGAGCAGAGTCCCCTTGTCCCCTTGTTCCACGGGCGAGGCCGCCACCAAGACCCAACTTCCTGTCCCCGCTGGAGCCCCTTTGTCCCTCCGCGCCCACAGCTCCGAGTTTCCTGATGTTGGATTCACATCTCCACTGCAAACTGGACCTAAGTCCAGTCTTCTGAGAGCCAGTGGGAAATACCTCAGTTCTGGGGACATCCGCCATGGCCTTCATGTGAAAGGGACCTAGGGGACATGTTGGGTGTATGTGAAGGGGAATCGGGTCCCTCTGACATGGTTGGTGTCGTCCTTGGCCTGTGTGCACACAGTGTTTACAAATGAAACGCTGATGGCGGCGGGACCTGAGCTAATTGCAGAGGTGGGACAGCCCCAAGTGCATGGGCCTTGCTTTCTAGGGAAGAGCAAAGAGGAAGAGAAAGGAGGAGAGGAGAGTGATGGAGGGGCAGCATCAGCTCCTGGGACCGCGAGCGTGTCCCTGAGGTCACCTGTCCTTAGGATGACAATAAAGGAGGGCTCATATGCTGGCTTAGGCTGGGGTGGTCAAAGATGAGAGGCCTGAAAGGAGAGAAAGTTCAGTAAAGTTTTTATTAAGAGTTCTGTTTCTGCTGATCAATTGAGGTAATGCTTTTGATGCAGAAAGTGGGATTTTGAAAATTATGTCCTTAATGCAGGTTAAAAAAAGTGGTCTTCCCCTGAGTTCCCAGGCAGGTGTTTTCTTGCTCTTGGTGCTTCCCCAAAACAGAAAGCTTTGTGAAGAGGGAATTCTTTAACCATTGCTGTTTAAATATGATTCCAGCGCTTGAGTAAAACTTAGTATCTTCAGCTGTTTTGCATGCAGGTGGTTGTTCTTGACAGCATGTCATTTGTGCCAAATGACAAATCCTTAAGGATAGACAGAAATATTCACTATCAGGTTAAGTGAGCCAGAGAAACTGTTTATGGTTTGGAGGCTTCATTTTGGTGTAGAGTGTTATAAAAATTTTGTTTTGTCTTTGTCCAGTTTTAGCACAGAGAACATTAACGTCTTGATATTCCCTAGCAAGAGAAATGTCTGTGTTTATTGTATGTGTCTTTGTTTATAAGGCAATATCTGAATTTATGAAAATGTAGTCACTCAGGGTGCCACCCCAGATTACTTTGAGATCAGGGAATGGTGAACAGGCTTGAAGAAGTACATGTTTGGCCTGCCTCCTGCAGTGGGGACAGTATGGTTGAATGGAGCACTGAACTTGTGGGATCTCTGCTAACACTGGGACAGGAGGCTTGAATTATGTTTGAGAATTGGTTGGCATGCAGTAAAAAGCATAGATTAGGTGTCAGAAGTGATATCAGAAACAGCACTGGTCAGAACCTTCAGCTAAATATGGGAGAGTGTTCATGGACAGATCTGACTCTGTGTAGGAGGAGCATTTTCTCGCTGGGAGGAGGGGAAAGGAGGATGTTGGAAAGTCTCAGATGAAATATTGGGGCTGGTCAGTTTTCTTCTGTCACCCCTGGAAATAGGCCATCTTAGACTGCCTTTGCACAGTGACAGGTGATCTCTAATCTTAGGAATCCTGTTTAACTTTCTGAATGTGGGTCCCTTATGAACTGTGGGTGTAGCAGGCTGCTTCCGTATGTGGTTTCCCTCTAGTTCCTTTCTATAATTTCGTTTCTGCAAAATAGGAGTTTTTTTTCTTATTTTAACATTTTTTGGTGCCTGGCTTGGTGGTGCATACCTATAGTCCAGGACTGCAGAGGTTGAGACAAGATGATTTCAGTTTCCAGGCCATCCTGGGAGATTTATAAAAAACCTTATTTACAAAAGCAATAATAATTTTCTTGATAACTTGGGAGTAAGATGGAGAATTTCTTGCTTGGAATCTCATTGAATAGAATGAAGAGGTCGATAGAAACACAGAGAACATTTCAAAAAAATTCTTTCATACTAAATTTAAACTAAATATAAACAGAATGGGGTCACATGCAGATGAATACTCAGGCCACAGTAATTTGGTGGGCTGTGTTCTCTCTTCCTGCTGTGCACCCAGAGGTGACCAAAGATGGGTTATTGAACATGGTTTATTCTTTTACCATGTGTCTGTCATGGAGTTTTACTTGGTTTGTCTCGAGTTTTGAGATGTAATACTACCATACATGTAATGTTAGGTTCAGCAGAAAGGGTTCACTTGTGCTGTCATTGATTTATAATTCCACATATGATGGTGTCTGAGGCTGTGCTCACATGGATCATTTCACTGTCCCAGGTAGTTTGATTGCTTCAACTATTTGTTTGTTGGGGTATGTGTGTGTATGAGCACACATGCATGCTTGATGATGTCGGTGACCTTCTTGATTTTTATACCTAAATGGTAGTGCCTAATAGATTTTTATTACAGTAGGGGAAAGTGCTCTTGTGTAGACAATGGGCAAAATCAAATTTAGTATGCAAAGTGTGAAAGTATATGTATTTGTCATCCTACCATTCATGAATGTGTTTATCACGTGATTCACCAACACTTGAAATGATTCATTTTTGTGTTATTAGACAGTATTTCTATAAAATATGTCTTCCTTATATTGGTCACATCTGGCATTGTTCCGGTTTCCCAGGTGGCCTTACATCTTATATGAAACATAATCCCCCTCCCTCTTTGTCTTTGCCACATGAGTGGTGCTTTTCTTTTAATATCAGATCCACTTATTCATAAGTAAGAAGTGAGAACTTTTGGCCAAATAACAAAAATATTAAAAATCAAATACCTGCCTAGCAAGCAAAGGACTTGAGTTCAAAACAGAGCATCAAAAAAGAAAAGCTGTGTTAAATATTATTACACCAGCTCATTAAAGGGTCATTTTCCAGTGTGTATTTTGCGGGTCAATCAGTTGGGCTCCCTCTATTGAGCATGTTAGAAACTTACAAGCCTTTCAGAGTTAAACAAGTAGCATATTACTTGCAGAAACTCTTTGGAACACTGAGCCCTCGTGTCAGGCTGATGACATCCATCCCTATGTAGATCCAATATGCTGGCAAAGGTCAAACATTGTTCTCAGGCATTAGTAAGAACATGCCATCTCTGGGCGGCTGGTGGTTATGCTCTTGTGCTCACTATGTAGCGGGACTTTATCATGAGAGATGCTATAGACCTAGTGTACAGAGGTTGGGGTGATTCTATTCTGCTGTTGTTTTACCTCAGAGTTCTCAAGTAGTATCAGAATTGCTATGAGACAGGGTGTGAGTATGGATGGAGGTAAAGACTGGAGAGAGAAGTACATGGAGTGACCCCATAAGGAGAACCACATTAAGTGGTCTGCTCATGAACAGAATGTAGATTTCCAGTGCTGTGACTCTCATTCTTCCTCCTGGAAATCTGTGTGATGTTTCAGGAGTCAGTGACCTTTGAGGATGTGTCTGTGAACTTCACCGTGGAGGAGTGGGCCTTACTGGATCCTTCACAGAAGAATCTCTACAGAGATGTGATGAGGGAAACTTTGAGGAACCTGGATGCTGTAGGTAAGGGTGACAGTGTTTCTTTAATGAGTCAGTCAGTGAGAGAACCAGTGATTTGTGGGCATCTGTGCTGTTCCATAGTTTGGCATGTAGAAGGGAAAATTGGGTTGGGCATGATGTTCCAAGCCTCTACTTGCTACTTGTGAGGTAGAGATCAGGAGGATTACAGTTTGAGCTTGGCCTGAGCAGAAGTTCTCTAGACTTGATATGTACCAATGAATGGACATGGTGGTGTGCTCCTGTCATCCCAGGTATAAGGGGGAAGCATAAATAGAAGTATTTCTATCCACCCCACACATAAAATCAAAAACAACCAACAAAAAGTGCTGGCAGAGTGGATCGAGTAGTAGAGCTCCTGCATACCATGCCCAAAGCCCTGAGTGTAACCACCATGTCAGTTTAAAAAAATAAAAAGAACAAGAAAAGTAAAGAAAATTTGGTGAACCTACAAGCATGGTCTCATTATACAATGGTAACCTGCCTGTAATCGATAGAACTTCAATAATTTTTTTTTTCTGTTCTCATTTTAGGGAAAAAAGAGAAAGACAAAAAAAAAGAGAAAGACAAAAATATTGCATGTCACTACCAAAGCTGCAGGGGAAATCGAAGGTAATTTGCAAACAGCACAATAAAGCAGTGTGTCCACAGTATACTGCAGTGCCAAGAAATTTTAAAAGCAAGTCAATGATATAAAAAGTTCAGCTTCAAAATTGATTTAGTCTCTGATGATTTTCCTTCAAACTATATACAGGTTAACCATATATTACAGAAATAATCAAAATCTGAACTGTTCTATTGAAAACTGATTGTATGCCACACATCTTTGGTTCAGTGTATACAAATTTTGTTACATTCACAAAATTATGGAGTTATGACTTTACTCTCAGAGTTTGCATATAAAGTGTGTGTGACACAAAATTGAATTTTGCAACAGGCCACGAGGGCTCAAGCCAATCTTACTGTTTGGGAGACAGAGATAGTACTGCTCTCTGAGGTCAGCCTGGACAATAATTTATGTGGTGTCCCCATCTCAGGCAGAGGTTATGCACACGGCTCATATGTGCATCCCAAAAAGCACAAAGAGGAGCACTGTGTTCCAGACTAGTGAGCATAAAGACAGACAGTATCTCAAAAACAGCCAACTCCAGTTGAGCAACTTTCTTGAACATTCAGAGTCCCTAGTTCAATCCTCAATATTACTCCTCCCCACCCCCAAAAAATAACCAAGGCAAAAACAGGTGGTTGAGTGACTCCAGAGCTTGCCTATCAAGTGCAAGTCCCTGAGTTCAACCCCCCAGTACTGCCAAAAATAAGATAATTTTGTGTCATACTATCTTACTTTACATTTGCAAACATTTCAAGGTACACAATGTTTTTACTTGTACATTTATGACGTGTGGATAAAAAGTAATATTGACAGGGTGAATTTGATCAATCTACATTAAATACATTTGTGTATATACACAATGAATCTCCTAAATGAAATTAATTCATGGTAACAGTTTAAAAACAATTACATAGGGAATCAGGGTTGGTGGCAGGTACCTGTAATTTATGGTTGTCACAGGCTAATACACATGAGCCATGTGTTTGAGACCAGACTGAGTGACATACAGTCTGAGATGAGAACAGGCAATAACAGCCATTCAGTGTTTGCAAAGTAGGTACCTTGAAACTGTGTTCCAAAACCCCTTCTTGTGTGTGTGTGTGTGTGTGTGTGTTGTATGTGTGTGAGGGGGGGGAGTTTTCATAGATTTTTTACAGACCTTCATGGTTGCTAGGCAGGTGCTCTACCACCTGAGCTATGACCCTAATACCTGAGTAAGGGTTTTTCATAATAGCTGTTCTTAGGCTGTTCTGAAGAGCATTGAGCTCATTCATGTTTAAGAATTGTTAAGAGGGCATACAACCAGTAATTTGAATAATAATCAAAATCTTAGTAATGTGCTTCCCTTTTTGCACAGATGTGAAGCAGTCAAGAGACCTTGTGAACCCTCAGAAGAGAGTCAGTGTGGACAAATCTGCACCTGGATTTCAGATCCTAAAGCGAACAGGAAAACTCCTACTGGAGTAAAACCATGGGAAAGTCCTGTGTGTGGAGAAGTCCTCACTGGTGCTTCATCTTCAAATGTGGTTGTCACAGTTAAGACTGAACAGCAATTGTGCAAGTATGAGGAATATACAAAGAAGACGCATACATGTGAGGATTGTGGGAAAGCCTTCCGTCACCCTGAATGGTTTCTGAAGCATGTAAGGACTCACAGTGGAGAGAAACTGTATAAATGTAAGCAATGTGGAGAAGCTTTCAGCAGATATAGCTATGTTCAGATACATGCAAAACTTCATGCTAGAGAGAAAGTGCGTGTATGTAAGCAGTGTGGGAAAGGCTTCATGACGCTCACAGATTTTCGTACACATATGGTAACTCATCGTGGAGGAGCACCTTTCAAGTGTACAGTATGCAATAAATTGTTTGGTTGGGCCAGGTCCCTTCAGAACATAAAGAAATTCACACCAGAGAGAAACCCTATGAATGCAAGGAGTGTGGGAAAGACTTTGTGAGTCACAATTCACTTCTATGCCATAAAAGGATTCACAGTGGAAAAAAATCCTATGAATGCAAGGAATGTGGGAAAGCCTTGTTGAGTCACAATTCACTTCAATCCCATAAAAGGATTCACAGTGGAGAGAAACCCTATGAATGCAAGCAATGTGGGAAAGCCTTTGCCCATCATAGTTGTCTTAAGAGACATAAACGAGTTCACACAGGAGAGAAACCCTATGAATGCAAGCAATGTGGGAAAGCCTTTTCTGATCATAGTAACCTTAAGAGACATGAACAAATTCACACTGGAGTGAAACCTTTTGAATGCAAGGAATGTGCAAAAGCCTTTGTGCGTCACAATGCACTTCTAAGGCATAAAAAGATTCACTGTGGAAAAAAACCCTATGAATGCAAGGAATGTGGGAAAGCCTTTGTTTGTCACAATTCACTTGTATACCATGAAAGGATTCACTGTGGAGAGAAACCCTATGAATCCAAGAAATATAGGAAAGCCGCATGTCGTAGTTCACTTCAATGTCATAAAGGAATTCACAGTGGAGAGAAACCCTATGAATGCAAACAATGTGGAAGGGCCTTGCATTCATTAAAATACCTTCGAATACATGAACGAACTCACACTGGGGAGAAGCCATATGTATGTAAGCAATGCGGGAAAGCCTTCATTTATCCAGGAAGCTTTCGACGACATGTGCAAACTCACACAGGAAATACACCTTATGTATGTAAGCAGTGTGGGAAGAACTTCACTGATTTTGGTTCTCATAAATTACATGAGAGAATTCACACTGGAGAGAAAACCCTATGTATGGAAGGCAAGATAAGAGCTTAATTTCTTCCAAATCCTGCAGAAAAAATGCAGTTACATTGCAATCAAGTTTTCTCATTTTCTCTGTTATCTCTTGTATGACCTTTCCTTCATCATCAATCTGTAAGAAGCAGTTGCTTAGGTTAAATTTTCCACAAACACCTCCCTCAGAGGCCAACATACAATCTAAAGACAAGCAGTTCTAATAGATAGCATTGTGCTTTTTTGTGGTTTGTTTTGCCAGCAAATAGAGAGCTCTTGAAGTTTCATTAGTTATAATTTCAACAACAGCCTTTAGCCTGATGATGTGGTTAAGCATATATATATAGGGAAGCGATACCCCCAAGACCCATCTTCTGCCCTAGTGGCAGGACCATACTTTTGGATAATTCACTGCGGAGGCCATTCGTCAGATTTTTGATTGCCAATTTGTAAAGCACCCCCAGTCTCACTGAATAGAATGAAGAGGTCCTTAGAAGCACAGAGAATATTTGAAAAAAATTCTTTCATACTAAATTTAAATTAAATATAAACACAATGGGGTCACATGCAGATGAATACGTAGGCCACAGTAATTTGGTGGGCTGTGTTCTCTCTTCCTGCTGTGCACCCAGAGGTGACCAAAGATGGGTTAATGAACATGGTTTATTCTTTTACCATGTGTCTGTCATGGAGTTTTACTTGGTTTGTCTCGAGTTTTGAGATGTAATACTACCATACATGTAAAGTTAGGTTCTGCAGAAAGGGTTCACTTGTGCTGTCATTGATTTATAATTCCACATATGATGGTGTCTGAGGCTGTGCTCACATGGATCATTTCACTGTCCCAGGTAGTTTGATTGCTTCAACTATTTGTTTGTTGGGGTGTGTGTGTGCATGAGCACACATGCATGCTTGATGATGTCGGTGACCTTGATTTTTATACCTAAATGGTAATGCCTAATAGATTTTTATTACAGAAGGGGAAAGTGCTCTTATGTAGACAATGGGCAAAATCAAATTTAGTATGCAAAGTGTGAAAGTATATGTATTTATCATCCTACCATTCATGAATGTGTTTATCACGTGATTCACCAACACTTGAAGTGATTTATTTTTGTGTTATTAGACAGCATTTCTATAAAATATGTCTTCCTTATATTGGTCACATCTGGCATTGTTCCGGTTTCCCAGGTGGCCTTACATCTTATATGAAACATAATCCCCCTCCCTCTTTGTCTTTGCCACATGAGTGGTGCTTTTCTTTTAATATCAGATCCACTTATTCATAAGTTAGAAGTGAGAACTTTTGGCCAAATAACAAGAATATTAAAAATTGAAACTACATAAATAATGAAAACACTGTAGTGACAAGATGTGTTAAATAAAGACAAACAGCAGTGGGCTCATGCCTGCAATCACTGAGGAGGCAGTCATCAGGAGGATTGTGATTTGTAGCCAGCCTGGGCAAATAATTTTTTGAGATCCTTGCTCCAAAATGCCCAACACAATTAAAACTATATTTGGAGTAGATCAAGTAGGAGATTACCTGCCTAGCAAGCAAAAGACTTGAGTTCAAACCCCAGCATCAAAAAAGAAAAGCTGTGTTAACTATTATTACACCAGCTCATTAAAGGGTCATTTTCCAGTGTGTATTTTGCGGGTCAATCAGTTGGGCTCCCTCTATTGAGCATGTTAGAAACTTACAAGCCTTTCAGAGTTAAACAAGTAGCATATTACTTGCAGAAACTCTTTGGAACACTGAGCCCTCGTGTCAGGCTGATGACATCCATCCCTATGTAGATCCAATATGCTGGCAAAGGTCAAACATTGTTCTCAGGCATTAGTAAGAACATGCCATCTCTGGGCGGCTGGTGGTTATGCTCTTGTGCTCACTATGTAGCGGGACTTTATCATGAGAGATGCTATAGACCTAGTGTACAGAGGTTGGGGTGATCCTATTGTGTTATTTTACCTCAGAGTTCTCAAGTAGTATCAGAATTGCTATGAGACAGGGTGTGAGTATGGATGGAGGTAAAGACTGGAGAAGTACATGGAGTGACCCCATAAGGAGAACCACATTAAGTGGTCTGCTCATGAACAGAATGTAGATTTCCAGTGCTGTGACTCTCATTCTTCCTCCTGGAAATCTGTGTGATGTTTCAGGAGTCAGTGACCTTTGAGGATGTGTCTGTGAACTTCACCGTGGAGGAGTGGGCCTTACTGGATCCTTCACAGAAGAATCTCTACAGAGATGTGATGAGGGAAACTTTGAGGAACCTGGATGCTGTAGGTAAGGGTGACAGTGTTTCTTTAATGAGTCAGTCAGTGAGAGAACCAGTGATTTGTGGGCATCTGTGCTGTTCCATAGTTTGGCATGTAGAAGGGAAAATTGGGTTGGGCATGATGTTCCAAGCCTCTACTTGCTACTTGTGAGGTAGAGATCAGGAGGATTACAGTTTGAGCTTGGCCTGAGCAGAAGTTCTCTAGACTTGATATGTACCAATGAATGGACATGGTGGTGTGCTCCTGTCATCCCAGGTATAAGGGGGAAGCATAAATAGAAGTATTTCTATCCACCCCACACATAAAATCAAAAACAACCAACAAAAAGTGCTGGCAGAGTGGATCGAGTAGTAGAGCTCCTGCATACCATGCCCAAAGCCCTGAGTGTAACCACCATGTCAGTTTAAAAAAATAAAAAGAACAAGAAAAGTAAAGAAAATTTGGTGAACCTACAAGCATGGTCTCATTATACAATGGTAACCTGCCTATAATCGATAGAACTTCAATAATTTTTTTTTTCTGTTCTCATTTTAGGGAAAAAAGAGAAAGACAAAAAAAAAGAGAAAGACAAAAATATTGCATGTCACTACCAAAGCTGCAGGGGAAATCGAAGGTAATTTGCAAACAGCACAATAAAGCAGTGTGTCCACAGTATACTGCAGTGCCAAGAAATTTTAAAAGCAAGTCAATGATATAAAAAATTCAGCTTCAAAATTGATTTAGTCTCTGATGATTTTCCTTCAAACTATATACAGGTTAACCATATATTACAGAAATAATCAAAATCTGAACTGTTCTACTATTGAAAACTGATTGTATGTCACACATCTTTGGTTCAGTGTATACAAATTTTGTTACATTCACAAAATTATGGAGTTATGACTTTACTCTCAGAGTTTGCATATAAAGTGTGTGTGACACAAAATTGAATTTTGCAACAGGCCACGAGGGCTCAAGCCAATCTTACTGTTTGGGAGACAGAGATAGTACTGCTCTCTGAGGTCAGCCTGGACAATAATTTATGTGGTGTCCCCATCTCAAGCAGAGGCTATGCACACGGCTCATATGTGCATCCCAAAAAGCACAAAGAGGAGCATTGTGTTCCAGACTAGTGAGCATAAAGACAGACAGTATCTCAAAAACAGCCAACTCCAGTTGAGCAACTTTCTTGAACATTCAGAGTCCCTAGTTCAATCCTCAATATTACTCCTCCCCACCCCCAAAAAATAACCAAGGCAAAAACAGGTGGTTGAGTGACTCCAGAGCTTGCCTATCAAGTGCAAGTCCCTGAGTTCAACCCCCCAGTACTGCCAAAAATAAGATAATTTTGTGTCATACTATCTTACTTTACATTTGCAAACATTTCAAGGTACACAATGTTTTTACTTGTACATTTATGACGTGTGGATAAAAAGTAATATTGACAGGGTGAATTTGATCAATCTACATTAAATACATTTGTGTATATACACAATGAATCTCCTAAATGAAATTAATTCATGGTAACAGTTTAAAAACAATTACATAGGGAATCAGGGTTGGTGGCAGGTACCTGTAATTTATGGTTGTCACAGGCTAATACACATGAGCCATGTGTTTGAGACCAGACTGAGTGACATACAGTCTGAGATGAGAACAGGCAATAACAGCCATTCAGTGTTTGCAAAGTAGGTACCTTGAAACTGTGTTCCAAAACCCCTTCTTGTGTGTGTGTGTGTGTGTGTGTGTGTTGTATGTGTGTGAGGGGGGGGAGTTTTCATAGATTTTTTACAGACCTTCATGGTTGCTAGGCAGGTGCTCTACCACCTGAGCTATGACCCTAATACCTGAGTAAGGGTTTTTCATAATAGCTGTTCTTAGGCTGTTCTGAAGAGCATTGAGCTCATTCATGTTTAAGAATTGTTAAGAGGGCATACAACCAGTAATTTGAATAATAATCAAAATCTTAGTAATGTGCTTCCCTTTTTGCACAGATGTGAAGCAGTCAAGAGACCTTGTGAACCCTCAGAAGAGAGTCAGTGTGGACAAATCTGCACCTGGATTTCAGATCCTAAAGCGAACAGGAAAACTCCTACTGGAGTAAAACCATGGGAAAGTCCTGTGTGTGGAGAAGTCCTCACTGGTGCTTCATCTTCAAATGTGGTTGTCACAGTTAAGACTGAACAGCAATCGTACAAGTATGAGGAATATACAAAGAAGACCCATACATGTGATGATTGTGGGAAAGCCTTCCGTCACCCTGAATGGTTTCTGAAGCATGTAAGGACTCACAGTGGAGAGAAACTGTACAAATGTAAGCAATGTGGAGAAGCTTTCAGCAGATATAGCTATGTTCAGATACATGCAAAACTTCATGCTAGAGAGAAAGTGCGTATGTGTAAGCAGTGTGGGAAAGGCTTCATGACGCTCACAGATTTTCGTACACATATGGTAACTCATCGTGGAGGAGCACCTTTCAAGTGTACATTATGCAATAAAGTGTTTGGTCGAGCCCAGTCCCTTAAGAGACATAAACGAATTCATACTGGAGAGAAACCCTATAAATGCAAGGAATGTGGGAAAGACTTTGTGAGTCACAATTCACTTCTAAAGCATAAAAGGATTCACAGTGGAGAAAAATACTATGAATGCGAGGAATGTGGGAAAGCTTTTGTGTGTCACAATTCGCTTGTATGCCATAAAAGGACTCACAGTGGAGAGAAACCCTATGAATGCAAGCAATGTGGGAAAGCTTTTGCCAATCATAATTCTCTTCAGAAACATAAACGAGTTCACACAGGAGAGAAGCCCTATGAATGCAAGGAATGTTGGAAAGTCTTTGCCCATCGTAGTTCTCTTAAGAGGCATAAACGGGTTCACACAGGAGAGAAACCCTATGAATGCAAGCAATGTGGGAAAGCCTTTTCTGATCATAGTAACTTTAAGAGACATAAACAAATTCACACTGGAGAGAACCCTATGAATGCAGGCAATGTGGAAGGGCCTTGCATTCATTAAAATACCTTCAAATATATGAATGAAGTCACACTGGAGAGAACCCATATGTGTGTAAGCAATGCGGGAAAGCCTTCATTTATCCAAGTAGCTTTCGACACCATGTACGAACTCACACTGGAAAGATACCTTATGTATGTAATCAGTGTGGGAAGACCTTCACTGATTTTGGTTCTCATAAATTACCTGAGAGAATTCACACTGGAGAGAAAACCCTATGTATGGAAGGCGAAATAAGAATTTAATTTCTTCCAAGTCCTGTAGAAAAAAATGCAGTTACTGATATTGGGGAAATTGTCTATATTTATAGAACACTTAAATATCATGACCTTACTCACAGTCAAGAAAATGTATTATGTAAGGAATTACATCAATATAATTCCCTCCACAGATACACACGAACATACTCTGGCAACATGCCTTGATTACAAGAGATGGACAAGTGTCCTAATGGCAAACATGTGAGATGTACTCTAGCCCAAAATTTGTGAGTGTGGAAAACAAACTTGTCAGTGGCAACAAGTGACTTCAAAGTCCTGTGAAAATTCCTCATTCAATTGAATGCTACAAATGTTAATGATATAAAGAGTTTCATTCAAAGTAATTTGTGTAGAAAAATAATTATTGAAGTGATTAATTATATTGAGGTTTAGACAATTGTGCATGAGTGTAATATCTTTAAGTCTTCTCCCCTCCCCTTTCCTATGCTTTCCTTGTATTAGACATTGAACACAACATAGGACCATAGGACATGAGAGTTCTGACAGAATTAGGACACTTCTCAGCAATCACTTTGCACATGTTATTATCCCTGACAACCTAAGAAATTCCCACTGAACTGGGTGCTTATTCCTCACACCAGTTATGCTTTCTAGTTTGTGGCTGATATCGGGAGGATTGAGATTTCAGGCCATCCTGGACAAATAGTTCTCAAGATCCAATCTCCTAAATAACCATACCAAAATTGACTGGAGGACTGGTTCAACCAATAAGTGTGCCTGCTTTGTAAGCGTGGAGTCTAGAATTCAAACTCATCCCTCTCCAAAAAATCCCTCAAAGTTCTTAAATTGTCATTTGATCCGTGCAAGAATCTGTGTGCTCACCATGCATTTATTGAGGTCTGATGTCACAAATGCAGGCTGGAGCCCAGGGCATTATTCTTCCTTCTTGGCTTCCTGGGCATTTCAAAGGTAGTTGCCACCACCCGTCTTCCCATCCTACCTGCTGGTCCCTGTGCACACTTCTGGGAATGCACTCATCATGGCTGTTCTCTGGGCTGAGCACAGACTCCCACCCATGTCCCTCATCCTCTGTACCCTCTCCATCTCAGAGTTTTTTCTGCTGATCCAGTCACCTCTTGCATGCTGGCCATCCTAGTGCCCTCTTCACTCCACCGTCCTGTGGCCTGTGATGAACACAGTTCCTTCTCCTTCACATTGTGATAATCTGACTTCAGCCTGCTCATGGTCATTTGCTGTGACTGTTGTGTGGCCATCTGCCACCCATGCATTGCAGTGAGCATTGGCTGTGCCCATCTTGGGGCCTGGACCAGGGCTGATGGCTCAACCATAGGGATGTTGTGACAATTTCTTTCCCCTTCATCGTCTGTGTGTCTAGTGAAGCCACCATTTTGTATCCTGTTGCTTTTCCCTCTTCAATTTGGATGGTTGTGACCACACAGCTTTTTTTCCCCTCGTGATCCTCATGTGTGTGTCCCTATCCCAGCAGCACACCTGAGTGCCTCAAGTTTCCTGATGGTGGAATTGGCATTTCCACTGTGACCTGGTCCTGAGCCAGGCCTTCAGAGAACAGCAAGAAATCCCTTGTTTTCAGGGACTTCTCACATGGTCCTCATGAGAAAGGGAACATGGGGGAGCAGAAGAGGAGATGCAGCTCTCTGTGTCATAATTGGTGTCCTCCTTTCCTGTGTGTAGACAGTGTTTACAAAGGATATGCAGATGGCATCAGAACCTGACTTAGTGAAAAGGTGGGACAGCCCCAGTTGCAAGATCTGCAGGGTCTCAAGGGCAAGGCCGAGCAGGGCTGTGCTTTCTAGGGATGAGCGAACAGGAGAAAGAAAGGAGAGGAGGGTGATGGAGGGGAAGCATCAGTTCCTAGACAAAGGACATGTCCCTGAGGTCACCAGTCCTGTGTGTGACAGTAAAAATAGGGTTGTGTGCTGTCTAGACTGAGTGGTCAGAAATCAGAGACCTGTGGGAGGTGAGAAAGGTGAAGAATGTTTGTTTAGCCTTTGCCTGGTTTTGACTTAGATTGCAGGGTAAAGGGCAGGACACACCATCCAATTGCAGTGAGATGTTTCTTCTCACAGTAAGGAGACTCGGTTTCTTTTCTCATTCCTATTTACCAGGACAGTAAGGTTGAGTAAAATTGAACTGTCAGTGCTTTGGTGTTTCCACAGAGTTGCCAGAGTCAGGATGCAAGTTGTGCACACTGAGAAAATCTGAGTGTTGGGCACAGAAAGACAGGTTTGGGTTCTGCCAGTGGAACAAATGCTTTCTGAACTTCATAGTTTCTGCAGGTCTGTGGTATAATGGAAATATATTTGATCTCTTAGCCCTCTAACATGTGGGTCTGAGGTCCTAGAGACCTTGGAGTTTGCAGAGTGATAGGAATGCTTTTGGTTGTTCATAACCAACTCTTTTTCAGACAACACCTGAGTTCATGCTAATGACATTATACTGCAGGACCCCTTGAGAGCTTCATGAGAGGGACTGGTTACCCTATGATGAAATCACATGCTTGGGACTGGCATCTGCAGTGGGGACAATGTGGGGAACTGAGCCCTGACCTTACAGGATCTGTTAACTCTGGGTGGTATCATAGTTGAGTTGAAAACCTGCAACTCAGTGCTCCAGCCTGCCCCCATGGAGCTGGGATTACAGGCTCAGGAGGAACACATTTTATCTTCTGAATGTGGCTCCCTGTGATCTCTGAATGAAGCTGGCTGCTTCCTGAACTGCTTCCCTCTTGTTGCCTTGGTAGTATTGTTGTGCCATAACATTCCACTGTAGTGAAGAAGTTCAGAATTTTCTTCCATGACTTGCATGAAAGAGTTTAATTTTTTAGTTTGAAACTTCAGTGATGAGGAGACTTGGAGAAGCAAAGAGAATTCTTGAAATTGTTTCATGGTAAGTTTAAGTAAGAATGGAAGCAGCCATGAGTTACCCTCTAGATCAATATCTAGATTGATGTCATTTCTGCGATCTCTGGTCTCATCTTCCTCTATACCCAAAATTCTTAATTAATTCTTTTTTTTTCTTTTCAGAGACTAAAATATTTATTTATTTATTTATTTATTTATTATTGTTTATTCAATTATTCATATGTGCATACCCCCCTCACTTCCAGGCAGAACATGTTCTGCCTTGTTCTTCAATTCTGTTGAAGAGAAAACAAGAGATAATAAGAAAGACATCATTTTTGCTAGCTTGAGATAAAGATAGGTATACAGAGAGATTCGTAGCATTGCTTCCATTCACATGTATAATTCAACCCAAATTCGTTCATCTCTACCAGATCTCTTCACTACTTCCCGGTCACCTTCTCATAGTGTCCTCTGTCCAGTTTAAGATTACTTTATTCACTTCTTTACAGTGGGCACATTAAACCCTTTCAAGTTTCCTTATTCCTATTGTATGCCTTCTCCCCTTAGCATGTGACCCATATCCAATAATATTACTACATTTGTTTAGGTCTAAAGTCCACATATGAGGGAGAAAATATGATTTTTGGTCTTCTGAGCATGGTTACCTTCACTTAAGATGATGTTCTCCAGTTCCATCCATTTACTCGTGAATGACAAAATTTCATTCTTCTTTGTGGCTGAGTAAATTTCCATTGTGTATAAATACCCTATTTTCTTAATCCATTCCTCAATGGTGGGGCATCGTGGCTGTTTCCATAACTTGGCTATTGTGAATAGTGCTGCAATAAACATGAGTGTGCAGGTGCCTTTGGATAATCTGAGTCACATTCCTTTGGGTATATCCCTAGGAGTGGTATTGCTGGATCATATGGCAGATCTATGTTTAGTTTAACTTAAAATTCCTTCATCATTCTCATACACCTATTGTTGAAATAAGCTCATTTCTTACCTTGTTAACAATGTATATATTATAAAACAAAGATATGCAATATTTTAAAACAAATACTTCAAAACTATATTTAAGCAATGACTTCCAAGGAAATAGACTTCAGGCACCATGTGACATTTATGACATTCTCTTTTCCTTGTATTATTCCTAAATCTTGATGCTCTTTCTAGTTTTACCCTGTAGTTATCACAAAGCAGAGTTGATTTGTGTTGCCTCCTTCAGATTTTCAAGAAGTCAAGAGTTCCATTCCTATGCCATTAATACTGTGCTGAGAAACTTTCTCAATTGTTCTTTGCTGCACAGGGGCTGCTTGCAGGGTGATGTCTGTTCCACCAGATGGATTTGCTTATCCCAGACCTTGTGGATTGACTGGCTTAATGTTTGTTTATTTATATATGAATTTATTTAGTTATGTTTGGCTGTCCTGAGGTTTGAACTTATGGCATCAGGCTTGTTTGACAAGCCTCTATGACTTGACCTATTCTGCAAGCAGGTTTTTTTGCTGGGTGTTTTTCCAGACAGGGTCTCTCAAACTATTTGCAGGGCTGGGCTGGCTTTGAACTGAGATCCTTCTGATCTCTGACTCCTGAGTAGAGAGGATTACACACATTAGCCACATGCATCTGGCTGAATTTTATTTTTGATGCTGTTGCCAATATCATGTTGCTTTTGCCCCCAAGTGTGAAGGCATCAAATGTTATATACAAATTGGGGGAAATTCATGGTTTGTTGTAGATGAATGTAATAGACAATATCAATGATTCTCAGGGTTTAACCATCTAATTATTCAAGCATATGTCTTTTTTTGTCAATGGGACTGATGTTTAAACTCAGTGGTTCTCACTTGCAAAGCAGGCACTCTATCACTTGAGCCATACCTCAGTGCATTACGCTCTGGTTATTTTGGAGTTGTGGGGTCATATGAACAATTTGCAAGCTGGACCATCCTTCCTTTCATCTCTCAACAGGCGAAAGCAATGTTGACCTCAAAAGATTTATTTTCAACTGAAAATTGAAATTAAGCCACCTGAGGTGCTGCAGGTGTCAGAGCTGCACTCAGCAGGAATTGTTCCCTGAGTTTCCAGAGTGTGCAGTTAGTCTCTATTCTGCCATCCCTGAGCCAGCCTCTC